ATTTTTACTTTTTAGCTTTCCTGGCACCTGAGTTAGCAACTTACTGGAACAAAATTTACGCGGGCCAGTGCATCTTTACCAAGCATACCCGGGAGCTGGATTCGAGCTGAATGAAACTTAGGTGGACGGGGTATATCCTCTTAAAATTTCATTCCTTTAGTTTCTCAGGTACTTGAGTTATCAATTTACACGAAAAAAATTTTGGAGGGTCCCTATGTAGGTACCACGCTTACCCGGGGGCTGGGCCACTAAGAGCGCTTGGGCGGGGAACATTATCCCAAGTTTTCAGCCCTCTAGCTTCTCAGATCCCCGAGTTATGAAATTACCCGAAGCACTTGGGGGGGGCTCGTGCGGGGGCACCACGCTTACCCGGGGGCTGGATTTGAGCCCATTAATAGCCGCTTGGGCGGGGACATTCCCCCAAGATTTCAGCCTCCTAGCTTCTCAGATCCCCGAGTTATGAATTTGCGCGGGAAGAATTTTGGGGGGGACCGTACGCGGGTGCCACGCTTACCCGGGGGCTGGATTTGAGCTCATTAGCACCTGCTCGGACGGGGCCCATACACGGGTACCACGCTTACCCGGGGGCTGGGTTTGAGCTCATTAGCATTTGCCTGGACGGCCCATACGCGGGTACCACGCTTACCCGGGGGGCTGGATTTGAGCTCATTAGCACCTGCTTGGACGGGAACATTCCCCTAAAATTTCAGCTTTCTAGCATCTCAGAACCCCGAGTTATGAATTTGCGCGGGAAAATAGGGTACTACGCTTACCCGGGGGCTGGGTTTGAGCTCATTAGAATCTGCTTGAACGGGGAACATACGCGGGTACCACGTTTACCCGGGGGCTCCTAAAATTTCAGCTTTCTAGCATCTCAGAACCCCGAGTTATGAATTTGCGCGGGAAAAATTTTGAGAAAATTTCAGCTTTCTAGCATCTCAGAACCCCGAGTTATGAATTTGCGCGGGAAAAATTTTGGGGGCTCGTGCGGGGGTACCACGCTTAACCGGGGGCTGGTTTTGAGCCCACTAATAGCCGCTTGTGCGGGGAACATTGCCCCAAGATTTCAGCCTTCTAGCTTCTCAGATCCTCGAGTTATGAGCTGACCCCAAAAAAACTTTCGGGGGC